GCCTGAGCGGGGGTCCGGCCTTAGGGGGGCACTGGGTTCGTGGGGGTCGTGGGGAAGTGCGGGCCCAGGGCCGAACGTGGGTGTGGGAGGGGGGCTCGCCCAGCTGTGGTCGACGTGGAGGGGCGCGGTGGGTGTGCACCGAGGAGGCCTGAGGGGTCGCTGAAGTGAGTTAGGGCCACGGCCCCGCACCCCCAGACTGCTTTCTGAAGTCCAGGAAGGGGAGAGCTTGTAGTTTTTTGGTAGTTACAGCAGTCGGGAGGGTAGACGTGGCCTTAGCTCCTGGCAAACCAGGATTTCGTTTTCTGCTCTAATGTTTTGACCTTGGGCAAGTCATTTTATTCTGCTCTTTTGCTTCTCTTTCATTTGTAGCCTCCCTTCCCCTTACCGGAATATTAAGAAGATTAAGGTGATATAGGAAGGCCTTGAACTTTTGGAGGGAACGTTGTGATCTGAGCAAGCTGTATGGGGTGATGGAAAAGAACGCTAGGGTAGGTGTTGGGTTCTTTACCCGACCTTACTACTTACTAGTCATTAAACTTCTTGGTGTTTTCAGTTCCATTAGGGATAAAATGGAAGTTGCCAGTATTTTCCAGGCTTAAAAACAATTGTGCTTTACATTTTGTATTGCAGTCTGTGGTTTACAGAGCTCTTTACATTTATTGTCTAATCCGCAAACAACTGTGTAAGGCATCATTCAGGTTTAATACATGAGAAAATTAAGGCCTAAATTAATTAGTGATTTTCCCAGGGTAGTATATAATAACACTGTTCTCTGGAAGGAAGAATGGTAGCAGCTGTTGAGTGTCTGCTAGTGCCTGGGACTGTGCTAAAGTAAATTAAGCAGACATAAAAAAAGACCTTGGTATGAGCCTATGAAATAAGTCCATTTTACTGATGAGCAGATTGAATTTGGTTAAGTTAACTTGCTGAGTAATATGGATAGTTATTGGAGACAGAATAGATACAAGTATCAGCTTTGCCATAGTTCTTGTTTCATTGTATCTTGCTGCTTCAAAAAAAGGACGGCATAAACTTGCTTTGAAATGCATAGTTTTAGAAGAGATGCCAAGCATTAGTTCTTGCTGATGCTGTTGGAGTCACTGCAAAGTGGAAGGTGAGGCATCTGGTATCTTCATGCTTACTCTTTTCTGCTAATGCTCTCCCCTTTCCCCACCCTAATTACAAATGACTCCACTTCCTCTTGCCTTGTGTCTCCAGTTTCCCTGTTTTTTTAAAACCCAAATCAGGGCACATGGATTCAAAATAGGATGGAATATTTCAAATTCAAGATAATTGGTCTCTTAATTGGTGTTCCAAATCCAGTTCTACAGCTGTGGTGGTGCAGTGGTTAAGTACTCAGCTACTAACCAAAAGGTTGGCGGTTTGAACGGATCAGCTGCTCTGAGGGAGAAAGATGTGGCAGTCTGCTTCCATAAAGATTTACAGCCTTGGAAACCCTATGGGGGCAGTTCTACTCTGTCTTCTATAGAGTCGCTATGAGTTGGAATCAACTCAGCAGGCAGTGAGTTTGGTTTTTTTGGTATCTCCTTTATGAACTTATTTTGCTCTGTATTCTCCTTTGGATAGCTAGATGATAATGTGTATGACTCTGTCGCACAGCCCCTATGATTTTCCGGAGTAAAAGCTTGATCCAGGGGGGAGGGATCTACACAGTAAGCTAATAGAGCTATTTCTGGGGTCTTGGACTGCCCGTTGCTTTTGTGCAGGCTTTTAGAGTTTGTGGTCTGGCCTTTTTTGTCTCATTTCATATGTTGTCATCATTGGCATTATGATTTGCTGCCTGACTGCTTTCTCTTTCTTGTGTTGTATCATGTTTATGTGGCATTCAGCTCTGGTCATTGGTATCATGATTATTTGACATATTTTGTGATTTGTGCTTGTGCAGAGACACCAAACTATTGGTATTAGACTTAGAACTGTAATTTCAGATTTGTAGCCATTTTCTTTTCTCTGCTTATCATATTCCTCTTTCCTTCCTAGGCTGGTTTTATGGGATCTGCCTTTGGTCTTCTAGCTGTGAAAGCACTTACTCCTACAAATTTATCTGCCACCAAAGCACCTCAATGTTATGTCTTCACTGTCATTCACATGCCTTGAGGATAAGTCTCATATTTCAAAGTACCTTAACCTGATATTCCACAGATACCTTTAAAACAAAGCAATACAAACAATTATTTTCCAAACTGAAAACTTTAAGCCTCCCCTTCATTCCAGGAAAAAATGATTAAAGCAAAAACACTATTTTTCTTTCACTCCTTAACATGGTTAATAACATTATTCTCTCCCTTAATATTCTAGCTAGAAATGAGTTATCTTTGTTGTTTTTTCTCTTTCATCTTTCTCCTCCAGTCTTGTCAAAAAAGTCTTGTTGATATTTATTTCTAAGTATATCTCAACTGCCCCCTCTTCCCTATTGCTGCTGCTTATATTAGGCCTTCATCATCTGCTCTCTAGGTTATTGAGGTCACTTTCTGACTTATTTTCCCGACAGTTTCCAAATCTACCCGTCCTCCACCCTATCTCCAGAGTTAACTATTCTAAAATGTGAATTTGATTGTGTAATGGCCCTACTTTAAAACTAGATGATTCCCCAAATTGCTTACAAGATAAGTCTAATTTCCTTAACATTATATTTAAGGACCTTTTGTGGTCCTGGTGGCATAGTGGTTAAGTGCTTGGCTGCTAAATAAAAGGTCAGAGGTTCAAACCTACCTGCCTCTCTGTGGGAGAAACATATGGCAGTCTGATGCCCTAAAGATTACAGCCTAGGAAACCCTATGGGGCAATTGTACTCTGTTCTATATGGTTGCTGTGAGTCAGAATCAACTAGATGGTGGCAGTGGGTTTGTTTTTTTTTTAATAGTCTGCGGGAAGGAGCCCTGGTGGCGCAATGGTTAAGCTCTCAGCTGCTAACCAAAAGGTCAGCAGTTTGAACCTTCCAGCCGCTGTGTGGGAGAAAGATGTGGCAATCTACTTCTGTAAAGATTATAGCCTAGGAAGCACTATGAGGAAGTTCTGCTCTGTCCTTTGGGGTCGCTGTGAGTCACAGTTGACTCAACGGCACACAACAGCAACAACAACAACATAGTATGTGGCTCCAAATTACTTTTGTAGCCCTGTCTCTCATTCCCCATCAGTGAACTTTATGATGTAAAGAAACCTAACTTTTCTGCCACATCAATGCTTTGTTAGAAATCAAGGCTTTTAGTGATTAAGTAATATACCTGCTAAGTGGAGAAGGTCTTTTGACTCCAGAAGACAGAGGAGAGACCCAGGGCCCTGGCTTCCACTTCTGCATATTATAGAACTTCATCTCTTAGAGACTTGAGAGACAGATAAAATGCAGTTTGGGTTTTCTGACCTCTAGCTGAAATCAGAAACATAATTTTTGATATGTAAATCCAATAAAAGTGTTAGCTCTACTTCCCAGTGAATCAGTCATAACCCAGGTGACACCATTACAGATGTACAATATAAGCAATGTATATTAATACACATAAGCCAGATCTCTCAGTCTATGCACACTTCCCCCTAGTTGTTAACCTTAGTTCATTCCATGATAGCTTCATGTCAGAATATACTAGAATATACCAGAACTTTCTAGAAGCAGAACACTCTGTTCCACTTAGACCTGTTAGCTCTTTTTTTTTCTTTTTTTTTGCTACTGTGCCTTTGTTAGATTTCAGCAAACATTTAATCTTCTCAGCAAGCATCTAATATTCAGATGTATTTTATCAAATAAAATTATAAATCTACCCCTAGCCATATTACCTACTTTTTCCAAACAGTGCCTTTTGGGTATTTTTGATTTTCTCTTGTCTGTCTGGTGTGGTACGTTTAAGGAAGTATCCCTATGTAGTCTGCCCTTGCCAAGTTCTACATAAAAACAGTTCTACAACAAATGCCTAGTGATCTAGGGCTTAGGTTCCTATACCACCTGTCATGGACAGAATTGTGTTCCCCCAAAATGTGTGTCAACTTGGCTAGGCCATGATTCCCAGTATTGAGTGGTTGTCCACCATTTTGTGACCTAGTGTGATTATCCTATTGTTGTAAATCCTAACCTCTGTGATGTTAATGAGGCAGGATTAGAGGCAGTTATGTTAATGAGGCAGGAATCAATCTACACGGTTAGGTTATGTCTTGAGTCGGGTTTTTTTGAGATATAAAAGAGAGAAGTGAGCAGAAAGACGGGAGACCTCCTACCACCAAGAATGAAGAACCAGAAGGGGAGTGCGTTCTTTGGACCTGGGGTCCCTGCACTGAGAAGCTCCTAGACCACGGGAAGATTGATGACAAAGACCTTCCCCTAGAGCCAACAGAGAAAGCCTTCCCCTGGAGCTGGCACCCTGAATTCGGACTTCTAGCCTCCTAGACTGTGAGAGAATAAATTTTTCTTTGTTAAAACCATCCACTTGCGGTAATTCTATTATAGCAGCACTAGATAACTAAGATACCATTCAACCATACTACTTTTACATTGCTCTCTTCACCTTCCTTCACTGACTCAACATTTATTGAACATGTTCTTTGTGTCTAGCATTATGCTAGGTGCAGAGGCTACAGCAGTGAAAAATACAGAATAGTTCCTTACCTTCTTGGAGCACACTTACTGTCTTTTTGACTCTTAGGCATGTGATTAAGATATTAATATCTAGTTGATGTTCATCTTTGCTGTCTCAGAATGTTTTTATTAGGTCATCACTGTTATAGTTTGGGAAGGCTAGGATAAAATCATTCTCACTTTTTGCAGAAAAAAGTTCTAAAGATTATCCTGTATATTTTAGTGCCTTTTGCCTTTTATACAAATCTGTCAGCTTCTGTCTTACATAACTATTTTCAAAAGCTGAATTTAGGAGCAGATGGTAGATGTAGGGGAGCCCTGGTGGTGCAGCAGTTCAGAGCTCGGCTCCTAGCCAAAAGGTTGGCAGTTGGAATCCACCAGCTGTGGTTGGCAGTTGGAATCAACCAGCTGCTCCTTGGAAACCCTATGGGGCAGTTCTACTCTGTCCTGTAGGGTTGCTATGAGTTGGAATTGACTCAGTGGCAATGGGTTTCATTTGTTTTTTTTTGGTAGATGTGGGTGGGTATATGAACCCTTGAGCTGAGCTTAATGTTCTAATTGGTTATATATCCTTTTATTTTTCAGAAGTCTTTTATTACCTAACTTATACCGTTAAGCTAAGCAGGCATATGATTTGCCCTGAGGTCCTGGATCAGATGAATTTGAGTGATTTGGTATTGTGGTACTTATTCCTTTGTGATTTTTATCTATGAAAACTTTTCCTCTCCTTTTTGGCAGTAGATCTTCACCTTCTTCAAATAAGATATTTTCTGTCCATTAATAACTTTTCTATAGTATTTCTAACTCTGGTTAAAGACTGTGTACTTGACAGCTCTGAAACAACTGGGGATATTTGAAGAGATAGAAAAAGCAGAGATAAGTCAGATATCTTGAATGTACAGGGTCCGTGTATTTATTGGTTGGAATCCTGCAGCTGTTCCTGTAGTTGAGCCAAGTGTGTTTGGATCACTTGAATTAGAGGCCAGGATTTGTCTGTATTCTGGATGGCCGGTTCTAGCTTTACCTTGTGTCTTTTGCCAGTTTGACCAAAAGTCCCCATTCAGGCTAAATTGTATTTAGTCTGTTGTCTTTGTAATATGAAGTATTTGGAACAGAAGCAGTAAAATTTGCTGTCTTATTTTTTTTAAAAGAGAATAACCAGATTTTGAGCTTAGGTTTTAGTTCTGCATAGAAAATTTTCAAATTCATTTTTTAAAATTTACTTTTTGCCTCTATATGTGTAAATAAGACTGTTGGTTTTTAGTTTAAAGGACTATATTCAACAAACAACAAAAAAGCAGTTTACAGAACCATCACAGTGGAGGGAGTGTTTGATTTTCTGTTTATGATAAGTAACTGGGACATATTACTTGTTACTTTTTAAGGTATTTTTATATTACAGAATTGGCTGTCATTGGGCTGCGGATGCACTTCATGTCTTGCATTAGGTGGCACCTTTATAATTTGTAAGATATTTCAATGTTTTATGTAAGTTAGGCATATCTAAGCCTTGTTAAGTATAATAAGAAGATAGGTGTATTTGTGTAGGATTTTATAGTTTATACATTTTCTCATTTAATCCTTGTAAATACCTCTAAGACTCAGAGAAATTAAGTTACCCAGAGTCATACAGCTTCTAGGACTAGTTGAGGGCTCAGACATAGTTCTTTTCACTTCAAGTCTACTTTAAAGCTCTACAATACTGCTTTTGTTGTACTGAGTGTATTTGTAAAGGCTGCTGCCATTGCTTAAACGTTACATCACTGCACGTTAACTCCAGATTCAGGTTAGTTATAAGGTCTCCAGCATCCTTTCTGAGGAGCTTGTAGAACTATTTTTGTCTGTAGAATTCATTTTTAAAAATTCTTAAAGTATTCTTGAAGTTTGTTTTAACCTTTTTGTTTTTTTAAACTTCTGTGAACCTTGAAAGAATAAACTGACATTGGGAAGGGTGATTTCTGAAGAGGCCGAGGGATGGGGAAAATTAACACTAGAGAGACTGTTGCATTACCAATGGAAAATACAAACTATACCAGTTATATTGATTAGTGCCTTCGTTTTAGACCTTTTTTATGCTTAAAGAAAATGTTGAGTAAGATTCTGGCAATTGTTACCACAGTTTACTCGAGTATTTTTAGGACCTGTGAAAATACGGTACTGGCAGGAACCGATATTATTCTCTCTTTATCTGTCTCCTGTAAAGAATAAAACAGATACCTTCTGTATATCTGTTCTTGTCCTCTTTTCTTTTTAAGTGTAACTATTATATTTTCATCTTTAATGCCATAAGGAGGTAGCTAGATCTTGTGTACAATAACAGACACCGAAACATGAAGAATCTTGGTTAAACATGAAGAAGGATTACAGACAGAGAACGAGTAATATAAAACTAAAACGTCCGGTGCTCTTCAAACAGAATCCTAGGCACAATTGCTGCTATAATGTATTGCTAAGGGAGTATATGAAATTTCCTCCTCTGAAGGTCCTTACAAGTGAGTTAGATTCTCTTTTACTTGGGGGCCTTGCTTCCATCTTAACTCATTACCCAATACCGAGATGCTCTGGGGGCTAAGAGAGGCAAACAATATGGCCCTTCTCTCAAGGAATTTACAGCTTGTTTTATTAGTCACCGATTTTTGCGTCTGAGACTTAGAGAAACTGCTATATACAGGAGACAGTGGGTGAGTTTATTTTTTAAAAGCTATTACCAGCTCTTAAAATTTTGTGGGAATTATGGGAACATAGATAGTCTGGACAAAGTCAAGGAAAAGATGCCAAATCTTAGTTAATCCATTAGTGGTAACTCCTTTTTTGAATAAACGTTTCATTATCAGGGTGTCTAGAAAGTATAATAAGTAAAAAAAAAAAAAAAAAAAAAAAAATCAAATGGGCATACCAACCTAGGGGCAAGGATGAGGAGGCAGGAGGGGACAGGAAAGCTGGTGATGGGGAACCCAAGGTAGAGAAGGGGAGAGTGTGGACACATTGTGGGGCTGGTAACCAATGTCACAAAAGAATATCTGTATTAATTGTTTAATGAGAAACTAATTAGCTTTGTAAACCTTCATCTAAAGCACAATAAAAAAAATCAGTTCAGGATCTTATTTTAGAATTCTTTCTTAAATTCTAAGGAAGAAATGCTAAGGAACTATGGAATGACAAAAAGTTGATGGGTGTATAAGGGAGAGGGAAAGAGCTGCTTGGGGTAGTCCCCAAAATCAGTCATCAGCTACTGTATTCCTGAGAATTGAGTATAATTTGCGGAGTAGCTTGTAGAATTGGTGGTAACTAATGAGTATCCCATTTCTTCTGCCTGTTGGTACAAAACAGTGAGACGGTTTAAGCGGAAGCATCTTACAGCCATCGATTGCCAACATTTGGCTCGGAGTCACTTGGCTGTGACCCAGCTCTCCAGTCAAAGATGGACAAACAGAGATCCGAACCATGGTCTCTATCCTAGACCCAGAACAAAAAGAGGGAGTAGGGGTATGTCTTCTAAAAAAGTATCTTGCATTTCAAAATCTGTAGTTGTGTGTGGCCTTTGAGTATCTCCCACTTTGAAAGTATTTGTAAATATTGCTGCTGTGATTTTGTAGTCCTATTGTAATAGTTTGACACCTTTTAAAATTATTTGTGAGTTTTCCATGAATATTCCGTCCTGTTATAATGGTTGTTAAAAGCCCCAGGAAAATGTGATGGAATGACTCCATTAGCTGCTTAATTATAAAGTGATAAAAAACATGTACCAATATTACCATTATCCCAATCTTGACACATGATGATTACTTGACTCTTTATTAGTCCTCTTTGTCCAGTCTGTCACTAGGTTCACCATGTCATTTTTTTCTCCTCTAAAGTGTTTCTTCATCTAATGCATTCATGGTAGACTGCCCTTGTCACCTAGTACCTGGACTGCTGCAGTAACCCTTCTCCTTGCCTCTAGATTTTATTTCTTCCAAACCAATGGGCATACATGTCATTGGGTTAATATTCTTGAATACCATTTCTATCCTGTCACTACCCTTCTCCAGAACCTATAGTAAGATGTGTCCATTTTACTATTATATACTCAAGCCCAAAGTTGCCACCACCTGATATTTATTACATGAAAGTTCCCCTTTTGGCAGTTTGGTTTTTTCACTACCCATCTATGTGCCAAACAAATTTCTACTTTGTTAATACCTGTTAGTATAATCTAGATTGCCTTATTTCCCATTGACATATATAATTTCAGAATCCAGCTCAGATCTTTATTAGACACTACTTAAAGAGTCACTGCATTGATTTTCTTTAAATATTGTCATATGTGCTTCTCTTTCACTTTTTGGGACTACTATGACCAATTTTATGAGAGTTTCAAAATTATATATTGTGTGATATTTCATTTGTTTTGTGTGTCAACTTCTTATCTCTATTGTAAGTTCTTTACTGATAAAGACTTCGTCAGCATGTATATGCTTAACGTGTAGTCCTAGCACTGAACATGTAGTAGGCTCTTAATAAATATTGGTATAATTGAATCAAATAATTAGAAAATATCAGGATTTAAGGCTTTATTGATTTCAAAACTCTATTTCTGTCAAACTGTCCTAGAAGCAGTTATAATTGCTTTTTTTCTAACATAGAAAAAATATTTAAATTCTCTAAATTCTTTTAAAGCTAAATCTAGTTTTCCTCCATTCTCTTATCTTCCAAAGTGAGAATTTTGCCTATAGCCATTTAGAAAGGAGCCATGTATATTCTTGTGTACTGATAAGGTGTTGAAATACTTCATTAGTGTTTAAAAAAATTTTTTCGGAGTTTAAAAATACAGTGGTGATGTCTGAAATCACCATTTGGCTTCCCCTGGAGCCCTGGTGGCACAGTGGTTAAGAGCTCGGCTGCTAACCGACAGGTTGGCAGTTTGAATCCACCAGCCACTCCTCTGAAACTCTATGGGGCAGTTTTGCTCTGTCCTACAGAATATGAATCAAAATCAACTCAACACAACGGGTTTGGTTTGTTTGGTTTTTAAGTGCCTAAAAAAGGAGCCCTGCTGGCACAGTGGTTAATCACTTGGCTGCTAACTGAAAGGTCAGTGGTTTGAACCCATCAGCTGCTTTGGGAGAAAGATGTGGCAGTCTGCTTCCATAAAGATTATAGCCTTGGAACCCTATGGAGCAGTTCTACTCTGTCCTATAGGATCACTATGAGTTGGAATTGACTTGATGGCAACGAGTTAAGTGCCTAAAAAATCCGTGAGGTCAGGGACACTATACAGTTTTTTTTTACTTTGTATTTGTCTCAGTCATAGGTGCTTAGTAAATGCCTATTGAATTAATGTATAGAATAGATTAAGTTCTAATAATATGAAGACAATTCTGACTCTCTCCTTTTTATTTAAAAATAAATTGATGTGTCAGCTTCACCTAGGAGGAAATAAAAATAAAAGAATTTTAACAAAGTTCTTATTCCATCTCAGTTGTAGAAACTCAGTTAAATGAGAAGAGTGGGTTTTTCTGAATCCTAATAGCCTAAAGCACCTTCCTTTCTACTTAGACAGACTTAGATTTCCTATTGTAGGAGCAAGCCAGGAGAGGTGCATGTTTGTAAGTCTTATGTTTGAATGTGAGCAGTCGCTTACTTTTTGTCCATCCATTCAGGAGTTCAGTCTGCAGCATATTACTCTCTACTTGTGTGTATTGCCAGGTATAACATGAGTCATCACATCACCCAAAGACTGGTTTGTATCTCTTTCCAAATGTGTGTCAGATTAAATTATAGAGCAAAATATAAATATTTTTTGGATTCGCTATTTATGTAATCAGTTGACTAATATATCCTTTTCTCTTTCCTCTATTAACATAGATAATTAACAGTTAGTTTTACTTGAGTCAACAATGGCTCAGTGGTCATTATTCATTTCCTGTTCATTCTGTTTGGGTTTTCTCTACAGGTCAAGGACGTCAAAGATATATCACTGAATTCTTCCTAGCTGGCCGGCGGCAGTGCACCAATGACATGGCCAAAAGCAGTTCTGTTGGCAAGGACAACTATAAGGACTCTGAGGGTGAAATGATCTTTCCTGCAGAGGGCAATTATGCCTTGCCTCAGGAAGGTGATGGGGAAGCTAGATTGGGCTCTTCAGAATCTACTCTGCCTTCAAGGAAGCGGTCCCGGTCATTTGAGGAAGACAGTAATCAAGCTACAGGGACCAGCCAGTGGGATGGGGTTTCTAAGAAAACCCCAAGGCATCATTTTTCCCTGTCATGCACAAGGCCTAGAGAAGTTAGGCAAGAAGCAGAGGACTATTTGTCACAGCTCTCTACAGAGTCTGGAGAAACTAACCAAGAAATTGAGGACATTGGTCCTGATTCCATTCCTGATACATACTATGGGCTTCTTGGAACTTTGACCTGTCAAGAACCCCCGAGCCTCATTTGTAGTCTGCCTAGTGAAGTCCTGAGGCATATCTTTGCTTTCCTCCCTGTGGAAGATCTCTATTGGAATCTGAGCTTGGTTTGCCACCTTTGGAAGGAGATAATTAGTGATCCACTGGTACGTAAAATGCCTATAGTCATAAGATGTTTTCTCTAAAAGTACATAACTTAGTTTCATCTAGCATGTAATTCTGATTATAGTATTTCTTCAGAAATGGTTTCCATTTGCTTCCAAAATAATGTCCAAACCCCTTAGTAGCATTTAAGACCTTCCATATTTGTCTCAACTTATTATTCCAGCCTCATTACTCACTTCGTCTTCAACACACTGTTGCATTCTGTCCACTACAAATGATTTGCTGTGTCCAGATCCCAGACTGCACACTCCTTACCCTTTCTATGTTGCTTTTATCCTCCCACCCCACCAAAAGGCCCCTCATATTTCTGTTAACATTTTACCTGTTCTTCGAGGCTTAACTTTTATACTAACTACTCTCCCATTTTATCCATTGGAATTAATCACATTCTCTTCTTTGTGCTGCTATAGCAATTTATACCTCTGTTGTCACTTTCTGTTTTCTATTATAGTTTTAGAGAGCCTTCCTTCTCTTTTAAATTATGAGCTCATTGATTGAAGAGTAGTTGCCCTGTTTATTTTTACATTCTCCATTGTGCTTCTTCATTCCTTTCTTACATACAAAAAGTGATTAATGAGTGTCAAGACAAATCACTCTGGAGTACCTTTTGAGGTTGATACAGCAGGCATCCCATATTTCTCACGAAGATTTCTTGGTGCTATAGTTAATCATGGGACCCCAGTGGCGCAGTGGTTAAGCGTTTGGCTGCTCACCGAAAGGTCGGTAGTTCAGATCCACCAGCTGCTTCTAGGAGACCATATGGGGCAATTCTACTCTGTCCTGTAGGGTCACTGTGAGTTGGAACTGACTTGACGGCAACGGGTTCTTTTTATAGTCATATTACTGATCTGATTCCCTGCCCTTTCCTTTGTTGTTTGATTTTACTTCTTCCCACCCCAGGTTCAGGCTCTCAGGTAAACCTGAGGACTGGGTGAATGTTTTGCTTAGTTTATATATCATTTAGACTAGCCATTGGGAATAAGTCAGAATACTCTCTATGTTGCTCTTATCCTCCTGCCCGCACCTAAGGGCCTCTCATATTGCCGTTGACATTTCACCTGTTCTTCAAGGCTTAACTCTTAATACTACTACTCTTACCTGTTTTATCCATTAAATTAATCACATGTAACACTATAACAAGTTAGTGTTGGGACCAGGACCAAGACCCAGTTCTCCTAGTTTCTAACCAAAATTTGTGTAATGTTTCTACCTGATTTGCCCAACTTTTGATTGTAAGCTATAGTTGGTTTTCAGTTGGTAGAAGGTTATCTATGTGTTTGTGGCCTAATCTGCTTTCTAATAGTCACTGCCTGCATTTTATTTTGGATTTTTTAACTATCTAGTTCATTCCTTGGAAAAAGCTATATTATCGATACCTGATGAATGAAGAGCAAGCTGTCAGCAAAGTGGATAGCATCCTCTTAAACTATGGCATAGAAAAGGAGTCAGAGTTGTGTGTGCTGAACCTCATACGGTGAGTTGTTCTCCTGTAGGGTACGGTTTTTGAAGTCCTTTCCCATAAATTCGCATTTATGATCATATTTGTTGTGGACTGTTCTGTGAATGTTTTACAGATACACAGCTACCACTAAATGCTCCCCGAGTGTAAATCCTGAACGGGTGTTGTGGAGCCTGAGGGATCATCCCCTCCTTCCTGAGGCAGAGGCATGCGTGCGTCAACACCTGCCTGATCTGTTTATTGCTGCTGGGGTATGTTACAGGCTATGGGGAGTTATTGCGGAAGGTGATACCTTTTTTCATTGAAAGAAAGTGTATTGGTGACTAGATTCAGCTAAAGATTACTTTATATTTTCAAAATCTTTATTTAATCTGTGAATGCTTTGAAGTGTTAATTTGTTGTAGGTCTCATTCGAGGGATAAAAGGCAATATCATAAGAGTCTTAGATTTGTAAGGAATTTAAAAAAAACATTTAGTACAATTTCCCATTCTGTTGCTGAATCCTCCCTGACATATTCCTGAAAGGTGGTCATCTAGCCTCTTAACACTTTGATTAATAAGGGTTTCTTTACAAAAAAGAAATGCTTTCTTTAAGAGGGACACTTATAGTAATAGACTTGTAGTAATGTTAAAAATGATAGATTTATGTCCGCTATTGACTATTTCTGTGTTAGCAAACGTTTTCTTAGACATTACTAAATGGAACATACTGCCTCCATAATAATAAATTGACATCTTAATGTCAGAGAATTGTCAGTCTTGATTTTCTCCCCTAATGACTGCTGACTTCTTTTGTATCTCCCATAGTGCCTTGTATGAAAGGTAGGCACTCATTTACTGGGTACTTTGTTTTAACATGGAGTCCTGGTGGCACAGTGGTTAAGAGCTACGTCTGCTAACTAAAAGGCCAGCAGTTCGAATCTAGCAGCCACTCCTTGGAAACCCTGTGGGGCAGTTCTGCTCTGTCCTGTAGGGTCGCTATAAGTTGGAATCGACTTGACGGAACGAGTTTGGTGTTTTTGGTTGTTTTGACTCGACTCTTCTCATTATTTGTGGGCCTGAGAGCTCACACTGACCTGGAGAGGGTTGGGGAGATGGGAGGGAATTAATATTTTTGCAGTGTCATTTCCATGTAAGGTTCTATGTTAGATATTTTATAAATGTTATTTACTTAAAGAAAACAGAACTCAAATGCAAAAGTGATGAGAAGAAAGGAACCCAGGGCAAAAGGAAAGGTTCTCATTGTTTGCCAAATATCATTTGAGATTTTGGACTCAGTTCAGACAATCTGTAGCTGGTACCTAGACCCCAGCTTAGCTTTTCTTCATTGGTTGTCTGGTTTGACTTAGATTAATTGTGACCTATGTTTTTGGGTCTTTTCTCCCATCCCTGGTCCACCTCGCTGCACAGGGTGTCAATGTGTGGGCTTTGGTAGCAGCCATTGTTCTCCTCTCCAGCAATGTGAATGACATACAGCAGCTACTCTTCTGCCTCCGGAGACCTAGTTCCACAGTGACCATGCCAGACATCACTGAGACCTTATACTGCATAGCTGTGCTTCTCTACGCCATGAGGGAGAAGGGAATTAACATCAGCAATAGGTAAAGCAATGGAAGGGAGTGAGGAGACACTGTGATAGAGTGAAAAAGTTCTGTACTTGGTACAAATCCCAGCTCTGCCACTTACGAACTTTAACACTGGGCAAATGCCATAAAAGTCCTGTCATTCAACATCAGTGTTTTCACCTGTAAAATGAAAGCACTATGAGGTTTAAACTTACAAAGGCAGTTACCCGAGTTTATGAGTGCTTTGTGAATAAAATTGCTGTACAACTATAAAATATCATTGAGGCAGATTTTACATTGAAAGTCTTAGGTGAGGTACCCTTACTTAAAAGAAGCCTTCTTTATTCATACATGGCCACATTTTCCTAGGAAAATGTTAGGATCTGGTTCCTTTGGGTCTCACTTTTGGGATATGATGTAAGACTTGTGGAAAGGTCTTGTTCACCTCATCAGTTTAGAGAAAGACTGTATAGCATGTTGGGTTGCTAATTCATAGTGACCTTAATGATGAAATAAGCCAAGGTCAGTTTTGAGAGGATGTATGCATTTTACAAATATTTGAGCACTTACTGTAAGTCAGATAGTTTTCCAGACACTACGTATACAAAAAGGCAGACAAGATACTTGCTCTCATGGAGTGTATGTTCTAGTGATGGAAAACATTTTATACTAATTAAATATGTTAAATAAGAACATTTTAGTTCGTGATAAGCACTGCAAAGAAAATAGGGTGATGTGAGAGGGAGCTGGGAGTACTGCTTTGTTTTGGGTGAGGAAGGGCTTCTCTGAAGAAGTAACATCTGAATTAAAACTTGAATGTCAAGGAGGAGCTAGTCATTTTAGGATTAGGGGAGAGCATTTTAGGAGAAGAAGTTGCCATTGAGTTGATTCCAACTGATGGCAACCCTTTGTCAGAGCAGAGCTGTGCTCCATAGGGTTTTCAATGGCTTATTTTTCAGAAATTGATTGTCAGGGCATCTATGGGTGGACTTGGACCTCCAACTTTTTGGTTAGCAGTCAAGTGTGTTAACCATTTGCACAATTTTAGGAGAAGGAATAGCTAATTTCAGGGCCCAAAGACAGGGATGAATTTGTTATGCACAAGCTACAGAAAAAGTCCAGTGTTACAAGAGTGTAGTGAATGAGAGACAGTACAAGGGAACTAGAGGTAGACAGGCTAGATCATGTAAGATTTTGTAGTCCATGATAAGGAGTTACAATCAAATCCAAAGTATGATAGTTAACTATTGGAGAGTTCCAATTGCTGATCTGGAGTGGTAAAGGTAAACTTGTCATGGAATAGATCTAACTCATGGAGACCCCATGTGTTACAGAGTAGAACTGCTCCATAGGATTTTCTTGGCTGTAATCTTTATGGAAGCAGATTGTCAGGCCTTTCTTCCACAGTGCTGCTAGGTTTGAACTGCCAACCTTTAGTTTAGTAGATGAGTGCAAAACCATTTGTACCACTCAGGGGCCTTGTGGTACAGATAGGCAGCATGATAATACAGTGAATCTTGAAGAAGCAGAAGTCCCAGAGAGAGTTTCCTTTCTTTAGTGAAAGACAATGCTCCCTGAAATTAGAAGCCCTAAGAGGAAGAATAAGGAGTCCTGGTGGTACAGTGGTTAAGTGCTTGGCTGCAAACTGGAAGTTCGGCAGTTTGAACCCACCAGCCATTCCTCAGGAGAAAGATGTGGCAGTCTGCTTCTGTAAAGATTACAGCCTAGGAAATCTTACGGGCAATTCTACTCTGTCTTATGTGGTCACTATGAGTTAGAATCAACTCAATGGCAATGAGTGAAGAGTAAGAATGACTGGTGGGACCAGGTGAGCTGTAGCCCACTCATCCCTGGTGAAGTACAAGGATGGAACATTTATTCTCAGACATGTCAGAGTATTTGTTATATTTCTGAGTTATGTTTTAACTCATTAAATATGAATTGAAGGCATTCAACTATGGAGCAAGCAACTTTTTCATATAATTATGACAAGGTAAATACACAAATGATGAATAATGTCCTTAAGTGCAAATATGAACCTACAAATTATCTGCATGTTTACATGGACATAAATGAGGACAGGGAGGCATGGTATGTTGATTTTTGTTATGTCTATGTATTTCTTCTTGCTTTACCTGGAAGATAATCCTAATATGACCAGAGACTGAAATGTTTATTATAAAAGGTGTGTGTTACATCAAAAAGATTGATGCTCGGAGATAGCCTATTCTCACTCTGGGGATGAGGAGCAATGCACTAAATTCTGGGGGATTGGTGATTAGGGGGATGAGTTTGGGTTCTATGTGAACTATAGAGGCTTTGGAATGACTTGTGATGATGTGTTTGATGATATGCAGTGCCTCTGCTGATTGAAATTTGTGATCTTTAGTCCTTTTAGTGATTTGGAGGCTGCTTTGTCTTATAGTCCTTAATAATCATATCTTGCTATCACTGTAGCACCTTTCCTTTGGGGCCTTAAAATGTAGAATGTTATTCGTGTGTCTAAACCAATACCACTTCACAAGGAGCAGAGAGACTAAGTTTCAGAAATAGAAAGTGACGACATTAAGTTTATGTTGAACGAGAATCTCATTGCTGGGGGCAGAATTTACCGTTGTTATTGGTTATTTGTCTCTTAAAGTCACAACTAGTGCTCTTGTTCCCCAGAGAGAGTTTCCTGATCTCTTTCTCCTTTTGCTGTTATATATTGAAACAATGTATCTTTCCCAGAACTATATTCCTGGAGAGTTTTTGTGAGCTGTAGATATAGTTCAAATTTTTTCTTTCCTTTCTGCCACAAAATGGTGGTAGGTATTTTCTGTTTAGCAATAGTAAGGAGTTTAAATGCATCTGAGAAAAATTAAGATTCAGACTATAACTCGAATTTGAACATCACTAAATCTACTTTTTTTCCTCTTAGGATTCACTACAACATTTTCTATTGCCTGTATCTTCAGGAGAATTCCTGTACTCAGATCACAAAAGTTAAAGAGGAACCATCTGTTTGGCCAGGGTATGTATACCTGTATCTATGTGTATGTGTATGTCCTTGTGTGTGTGTGGTTTTTTTTTGCCTTCCATACTTGACTCTTTCTCATACTTAAGGAGGGGAGGTGTTTTGTTTTCACAACTTTATGGAAGTATAGTTTACATAATATAGCATTTACCCATTTTAAGTGTATAATTTGATGACTTTTAATGAATTTACTGAGCGTACAACCATCACCATAATCTAATTTTTAGAACATTTTTATCACCTGAAAGGGAAACGTTTTCTTTTGGTCAGTTTTTATTCATCCAGTTTGCCTGTTTGGTGTTTGGATAGCTCATGACCTGGTCTTTTCAATTCTTTTCTATTTTTCTCATTTCTCCTCTGTAATGATGATAGCAAGAAAACAACTATCCAGCTTACAAATGAACAACAGCTGATTCTGAATCATAAGATGGAACCTCTCCAGGTCGTAAAAATTATGGCATTTGCAGGTAAGGGAGCTCATCATTTCTAGAATAGAGTCAGGTTCATGATGTGGTTTTCTGCCTTTTATTGCCACACCCCCTTCCCTGATATTTGCCAGGGTGTCTTTACCTTCATCTTTATCAAACAACCTGAGTCAAATCTAAAAAGCAGTAGGCCAAGGAATACTTGCTTTTTTTTTTTTTAAAACCACTCCAGTGAGTGTCCGCACTGCAATTCCTGTTGAAACAAATAGTTCGTAGGAATTTGGTTTGTGGTGTAGATGCTGCTGGGATTGATTGAGCTAGTCGTTCATTGTCGTATGTGCTTAGCTACTGATTGCTTATGAAGTGGCAGCCATATTAATCTCTTGCTTAGAAAGTTTCAGTGGCTCCCTCATTTCTGTAGGTGAAATCTAGAAGGCCTTCCCACCATTTGGTTCTAACCTATGTTCCTAAATATATTGTGTCCTCTTCTCCTGTCTCAATCAGCTAAGTTGATCTACTCACAGTCTCCTGAAGTTCTTGGTTATTCTCTTGTCTGGACCTTTGCGCATGTTATTTCCTCCACCTGGAACCCCTTCCTGCTGCTTTTCTGCCTAAATATCCTGTTAACATCAACGACAACAATAATAATTTATCAAATGCCTGCTGTGTGCCTGGCAATATGCTAATCCTAACAACATTTTTAAGATTGGTTAGTTATCTCTATTTTGTACAAAAAAACTGAAGCCCAGAGAGATTAAAATGACTTGCCCTGGGATAAATAAGCAAATAAATGGTAGAGCCAGAATTCAAAGCTGGATCTGTTTCTTTGCACAGACAGGACTTTTTCTTTTCTATTTTATCCTCTCTTCTATTTTTTTTTCGCCATACTAAATTGACTCCCATCGTTTCTGCTGCTTCTTGATGAAGGCTTCTTCAGCCATTTGAGTCATATATGATCTCTGAACTTTTACTGTAACTGATTGCCTATATTTAATTATTTGGTACTTGATTAATAGTAAGAATAGTCAATACATGTGTTTTATAAACACTTCCACATTATTTCATTAGTCTTGAAAGCAGCCCTGTTGGGTAGGGAACAGAGGTACTGTATTTCTTTTTTTACAGATGAGGAAACAGGCTTACAAGGATAAAATGTTCCTTAATCTGATAAGTGACATGGTCTGGGACATGAACCCAGATTTGTTTGTTTCCAAATCCGTACTCTTTTTTACTATAATATGTTATCATCATTATACTCTCATTTTGTTCTCTGCTTCATCTATGTTGGTATTTTATTCCAAAGTAGATTATAATGTAGGAATCTTGCTTTATGCTTTTTAATATACTCACAGTGTTTAGCAGACAACTGAATATGTAGTAGGTGCTTAATAAATACTTGTTAAGTGAATGAAAGATTAAATAATTGAATGAATGATAGAGAATAGGGCAGACAAGAAAATTCTTAATGAATCAGAAGAATACTTGCATCTAATTTGCATGCTTTTGCCCTAGAAGCATAAATAACTCCTAGGCCAACAATAGCTGCCATTTATTAATATTAAATTCTTGCTTAATATTATTATTATGATAATATTAGTACTTTGATTATTATTTTTATCTTTACAAACCCTACAAGGTAAGTGTTCATATATTACTGATGAGGAAACTGAAGTTTAGGGTAATAAGTGGCTCGTCGTTCATTGCTCAACTAGAATCTGTTAGAGCCAGGATCCCAACCCAGATTAACCTGCCTTAGAATCTGCTGCTCTTTTCACTACACCATTTTGATCAGTACGGAAAAATTTGTCAGTGTCTTCGCCCTAAGCAAGAAGTGGAAGCATGGATAAGGCCTGATTAGGGTGTCCTTTGGAACGTTTTTTCCTGACTGAAGGGTCACATCCTTTCATCTTGGCTTCCCCAGGCACTGGGAAGACCTCTACTCTGGTCAAGTACGCTGAGAAGTGGTCTGAGAGCAGGTTTCTGTATGTGACCTTCAACAAGAGCATCGCAAAGCAGGCTGAGCTTGTCTTCCCCAGCAATGTCATCTGCAAAACCTTTCATTCCATGGCCTATGGACATGTCGGGCGGAAGTGAGCATTATCATTGCCATCACTGTTGTTTCTTATTAATGTTTGTCATAATGCGATCATTGTGATTACATATGAATTGTACTCCACAATGACACCAAGAAACTTTAATGCTATTAACTCCATTTACAGGCAGGAAATGTGAAGATAGATTTAGTGATTTGTGTTGTCACCCAATAAAAATATATTATTTACAAGTAACAGTAACTTTCTGAGGAAGGCATCCTCCTTTCTCTGGAACTGAGGCACAGAAAGTCAAAATGACTTGTCTCAAGTTCAGAGTATCACAAATCTTGATCAGTTTTTGGCTCTGCTTGGAAGGGTGGGGAGGGAGAGGAGACTCTGATGAGGTGCACTCAATCAATCCAGGTTTCCTTTGGCCTTCTGAACCAGTATTACCTTGGACATAAGGCTGCAAGGAACTTTCACTGGCCTTCTGGTGGGCCTCTCAGAATCTTGACTACACCTTAGAATAGTAGTGTCTGCCTTGAGTGAATTCATCTTCTGTGTTATTATATGTGAATTCCTGTGAGCCTACTGTAAACCATTTCAGGTCATATTTGGACCTTGCAGAAATTCTCTGGCTTTGTTTCCCTTTCTCACCCACATATGACCCTTGGAATTGCCATGTGGTATCATTGGGAAAAGTGGGAATGGAAGTGGGAGACACTACATGCGACATTACCAGTGAAGCCAGATACTGTTAATTTTGGATATGCATTACAGGTACCAATCAAAGAAGAAATTGAATCTCTTCAAGTTAACACCCTTCATGGTCAATTCTGTCCTTGCTGAAGGGAAAGGCGGATTCATAAGGGCCAAGCTAGTATGCAAGACTTTAGAAAACTTCTTTGCCTCTGCTGATGAAGAACTAACTATTGATCATGTGCCTATTTGGTGTAAGAATAGCCAAGGCCAGAGAGTCATGGTTGAACAGAGTGAAAAGCTGGTGAGTATCTAAATATCTTTAGTGTTAGCGATTTGGGAATAAATGAGAAGAGCTGGCATGGTACAGTGTTATTTCAGTCTTTCACTGCTTCAGAACTACTTGCAGGAAGTTGAAGATGGAGACTCATAATGATAACTGAATTGTACCGTATTTTTTGCGGTTAACAGCACTCATAGACGTCACATTTAATCCTCATAACTGTCCCTCTCATTTAACAGATGAGATACAGACATTGAATGACCTGTCCAAGGTTATAAGAGCTTGTCATTGTGTCATTGTGTCATTGTGTCATTGTCATTGTGTCATTCTGTTCCTAGAATCTGATTTTATCTAAAGATTGGGAATCTCTTTTCTAATTTTTTAAATTATTGGTACTACGTAGATTTTGCTAGTGGCAAATAAGTTTATTTCTTATTTATGAAGTCTTTTCAATCACTTGTCATTCTTTTTATGAATTAACTGTCAGTCAAAGTCTAGAAAAATAATCCAGCCTTTTCTGGCTCATCAAATGGTATGATCTCTGAGAGATGTCTTATCGCTGGGCTTGTTACTGCTGATCTCTGTACTTGAGAGACTCAGCAGTATTAAAGCGTTAGTGTAGAGCCTTTAACAGCTGTTGTACGTAACATTGCACAGTACTGTGATTATGCCTTTGATTTGACCTCTGTGTGTGGAAATGAAAGTGTGATTTCAGGGTGCTATGTTTTCCAGGGTCTTTAACTATGGGTTAAGGAGCACTGGTGGTGCAGTGGTTAAAGCACTCGGCTACCAACCGAAAAGCTGGTGGTTCAAACCCACCAGCTGTTCTGCGGGGAAAGATGTGGCATTCTGCGTTCGTAAAGATTTTACAGCCTTGAAAACCCTATGTGGCAGTTCTCCTCTGTCCTGTAGGGTCACTATGAGTCAGAATTGACTTGATGGCAGTGGGTTTTGGCTTTTAGTAAACTATGGGTTATTGTATCACTTGTTTTCTAGAATGGTGTCCTTGAAGCGAGCAGACTTTGGGATAACATGCGGAAGCTGGGGGAATGTAAAGAAGAGGCTTACCAAATGACTCATGATGGTATGGGAGTTTCCATATATTGCTATTTGTTAAATGTAACTGCATTATTTATGAGTTACAACTCTTATTACTCCTTTCTTTTAGGCTATTTGAAACTCTGGCAGCTGAGCAAGCCTTTGCTTGCCTCTTTTGACGCCATCTTTGTGGATGAGGCCCAGGACTGTACCCCAGGTGATAAACTGTTCAGGACATGAGTAGTCTCATATACATAGAAACAACATCATGATTATGTAAGAGGACATATATGTGAAATAAGTTGATTATTCTTATTTTTGATAAAGAAGAGGAACAAATGATACTTTGTTACTCAGAAACTCTTTTCATTTGACTTTGAATTTCAACAGTTGTCCCCTTTCCCTCCCAAACAGACTTTTTTACTCCAAATATTTTGCTTAGGTTATTCTTGAGATGTTGACTAAGAATAAGTCATCAGGTTATAAGGACTCAGGCTTGAATGGAAAAAGATAGTCAATTTGGGGTGAAAAATTTGTGTTGTATATTTCTCACATGGCTATCAGAGAGTAGACACTCGTGAGTATGACTTTCTGGGTCATCTTTGGGTTTTATGTTACGATACTAGAGGTAGAAGACAATCTGTCTCATATATGCCTATGTGGTTTTTTATAGTCAGTAATTTTTCTGGGACTGAAGATAATCTACTTTCCTAGGACCAAAAACTGTTTCTTTTGTACCATGATAAGATTGTTTCTTTGGATTGAGTGTGCCTATCCTATAGAAAAAGACAACTTTGTTCAGTGTGCCCTGGCTTAGCTTTATGAAAGCATTTTCATTCTTATCTTTCTCAAATATGGTTTATTTTTGGTATGTGGGTTAGAGAGTTCCTTAAGATCTCTTATTTTCCCTCTTACTTGGTTGCAGCTATCATGAATATAGTTCTGTCTCAGCCGTGTGGAAAAATCTTTGTAGGGGACCCACACCAACAGATCTATACCTTCCGTGGTGCAGTCAATGCTCTATTTACAGTCCCACATACTCACGTCTTCTATCTGACCCAGGTAAAAGCTTTTCTTTGCTTTTGTGTTCCCATGACCATGTAAACAAGTGTTATATTTCCTTACACTAGTTTTTAAGTGTTTACTGTGTGCCAGGCACCATGCAAGGCATTGTGCTAGGCTCACAGTATATAACAAATCCTTGCTTCTCAGCAGTAGTTCTCAAAATGGGGTTCTCAGGGAGTCTGCAAGGTCAAAACTTCTTTCATAATAGTTATTTGCCTTTTTCAGTGCGACAACATTTGCACTGATGGTGTAAAGCGATAGTGGGTAAAACTGCTGGCTCCTTACCAATAATCAAGGCATTGTCACCAAACTGTTGTATTCTTTACTGCAACACACTCAAAATAATTCAAAAACAGCAGTTTGTTTAAGAATGTCCTTGATGATACAGCAAGAATTATTAATTTTAATGTCTCTTGACCCTTGAGCACATCTCTACTATTCTGTGAGATTAAATGTGAAGTACGCATAAAGGACTTCTGCTGCAGACTGAAGTATGATGGCTGTCTGAGGAGGAGTACCTTTGTGATTGAGTTGTGAGCTGAACTGGCTGCTTTTTTCTTATAATATTTTTAGTTGAAACAATAGCTGACAGACCAACTCTGGTTATTCAGACTTGGGTGGCATTTTCTCAAAAATGAATGAAATGAGTCTGTGACTTCCAGGAAAACAACTGACAGTGTTTATTGCCAAAGATAAAATTATTGCTTTCAAGTGAAAATTTAAATTTTGGAAAACTTGTATCTGCCACCATGAACTTGACAACTTTCCCATACAGAATTTTATAATGAGATCAGTGAGGATATTAATGTATATGATGAGTTATGAAATGTGTCAACATTTAGAAGAACTGTGCAACTCAGTGATCTAATATTTCCTAAATGACCATTGCATGGTGTTACAAAATATGCATGGATAAAAAGTCCTTTTAAAGGGTAAGATAGACCAATGGATTTTAATATAACAGAGTACAAAAAGTTCATTGATGTGGTTTTGGATTCCATATTGCAACTAACCTTTAAGAAACTACCATTGTTAAGTTTTAGTGTAATATCAAAGAATAATATTCTTTTTTTTTTTTTTTTGTACTTTAGGTGAAGGTTTACAGAACAAATAGTTTCTCATGAAACAGTAGTACACATATTGTTTTATGACACTGGTTAACAACCCCACAACACGTCAACTCTCTCCCTTCTCGACCTTTTTCTTTCTTTTGGTGAAAATATACATAGCCAAAGATACACCATTTCAAAAATTTCTGCATGCACAGTTCAGTGACATCGACTATGATCTTCCAATTATGCTGCTCTTCCCACTTTAGATGAAGGTTTACAGAACAAAATAGTTTCTCATTTAACAGTTAGTACACGTTTCCCTATGACAGTGGTTAACGACCTCACAACACATCAGCACTATCCTTACTCAGTCTTGGGTTCCCTATCACCAGCTTCCCTGTCCCCTTCTGCCTTCTGGCCCTTGTCCCTGGACAGCTGTACCTCATTAGTCCCATTTGGTTTTATGGGGCTGTCCACTGCCTGGCTGAACGGTGAACCTTGGAAATGACTTCACCACTGAGCTAAAAGGGTGTTTGGGGGCCATACTCTCGAGGTTTCTCCAGTCTCCCTTAGGCCAGTAAATCTGGTCTTTTTTTCGTGAGTTAGAATTTTGTTCTACATTCTACTCCAGCTCTGTCCAGAACCTTCTGTTGTGATCCTGGTCAGAGCAGTCAGTGGTGGTAGCTGGGCACCATCTAGCTGTACTGGACTCAGTCTGTTGGAGTCCTTGATAGCTGTGGTCCATTAGTCCTTCAGACTGATCTTTTCCTTGTATCCTGTTCTCTTCATTCTCCCTTGCTCCCGGAGGGATGAGACCAGTGGAGTATCTTAGATGGCTGCTCACAGGCTTTTCTTTTTTTTTTTTCTTAATTTAATTTT